TTACTGTGGCAGAGCCAGGATTTGAACCAAGATCCTTTGACTCCAAATCCCTCACTCTTTCCAATGTGCCATACTGCTTCCTCATTCCTAATTGTGAAGAAACAACCAAAGAAGATGACAAGTAGAGAATTTAATACACTATTACAGAAATAAATGCCAAAATATGCTTAGAATAATGTGACAACCAGCTTTAAATCATGCAAGAACTAGTTTCCTTGCTTGCCTTTCCTCTTATTCAGTTTCTTCATCTATAAAATAAGGATAATGATACCTGTGTAAAGGTTGCCCCCTAATACACCCACAGTTTTAGTCCCATGGGGAGTATGTACAGCTCAGACAGGTACACAAGGTGCTGTTATGTCTGGGCAAGCTGGAAGGTGGTACTTGGAGCTTACACAATTTCTGCTTACTCAAAGTGTGCATGTGCTAATTCTTCACATTTCCCTAGTATCTCCAAAGTTCCACATTTAAAGTCTAGGGAAATAGGGTAATTCCAAAAATAACTCAAAATTCTCTTGGTTTATGCCTACTTGCATTCTTCAAATTCATCTTCCCATCTTAGCAAATTCCCAAATAATTCAATTACTCATCATATAGGTTAAATGCATCGATAATGGTTAAAAAAAAAAAAGAGAGAGAGACAGAGAGACCGAGAGAGAGAATAAAGTAGAACAGTGAGCTCTGAGGCAGGAAGAGTATCCAACTGTTCCAGAAAATGTGAATTTTCAACTCCTTCTATCCTATCTTTGTTCTGTCCCTCACATCTCACCAGAGGAACAGATGTATCAAAAAGCTACTGTACCAAGCATTTTTGATCTCAAAATTCAAAGAGAGGAGGGGAAGCTGCCTTATCCTAATGACCTGCCAGATTCTCCTGTGCCCAAGCCATTCTCCAGGAGAATGAATTAGCCAGAAAATACAAAGTGATGCATCTGCCCTTTGCAAACCCCTGCTAGGGAACAAGACAGTAGCGTAACCTTTGGCAGCTGTCCTTTAACACAGTAACCTGCTAGGGCTAGTCAGCTCCAAACTTCCATCTCTCCTTAGGGTCCAAAGATCCAGAAAAATGCGGGGGAAAACAAGTAGGTCTACTTTACCTATTGTGCAACAGGAGGCTGCTATATAAGGGTTACATCTCTAGTACCTACCTCAGGGGGTTGTAGTGAAGCTCAAAAGAGATAATATCCATTAACCACTTTGTACATGTTAAAATGCAAAATGTAAGTTATTACAATTATAATAATATTATTAATCTAATGTGTATATATTTTTTAGGAAATATTTATTGTCCCCCGGTAGCAAGCAAAGACAACATGATGTATTCTTTTTTTAAGTTTTTGCTAATTCTAGAGATTTTTAATTTTTAATTTTTTTTTTTTTTGCTTTTTGGTAAGGCAGTCAGGGTTGAGTGACTTGCCCAGGGTTACACAGCTAGTAAGTGTCAAGTGTCTGAGGCCAGATTCGAACTTAGGAAGATGAGTCTTCCTGACTCCAGTGCTCTATCCACTGAGCCACCAATAGCACCTACCTCCCAGGCTTGTTGTGAGGATCAAAGGAGATAATATTCACAAAGCATTTAGCACAATTCCTGGTATATAGCAGGTGTCTAATCAATACTTCTTCCCTTCCCGTTAAACCAAAAGTTCTTTAACCCTTTTTGTGTTACGGACTCCTTTGACAGTTGGTGAAGCCTACAGACCCCCTTTCTCAAAATGAGATTTTTAAATGCATAAGATAAAATGTACCAGAATTACAAAGGAAATCAGTTATGCTGAAATACGGTTGTAAAAATGTTAAAATGGGGACAGCTAGGTGGTACAATGGATAGAACACGGCCCTGGAATTCAGGAGGACCAGAGTTTAAATCTGGCCTCAGACACTTGACACTAGCTAGCTGTGTGACCCTAGGCAAGTCACTTAACCCTGACTGCTTTGCCAAAAAAGTGTTAAACAAATGAACAACACAAGTTCACAGACTCCAGGTTAAGAACCCCAGCCCTGGACTAAAGCAAACGAGTTCTAAGTACTTTCAACCTATTTAAAGAGTGTTTAGAGTTAGAAAAGACCTTAGAGATCATCTACTCCAACCTTCTCATTTTATAGATGACAAAGCCAGGGCCTAGAAGGAGGAAGATTATAAGGTCAAACAATAGGTAGCGGAGCCAAGATTTGGATTGAGATCCTCAGACTCCAAATCCAGAATTCTTGAAAGTGGAGAATTGACCTGGGATATGATTTCTGGGGATGATTACAGAATTAAATTCTACCACAAGGAAGGCATCCTGTGATGCTTCTGAGGTGGTCTGAAGATCAGACTTGTTTATCCATTGGCTTATTAGAAGTTCCTTCAGTTGCAAAACTAGAAAAATAATACACTGGGGGCAGCTAGATGGTGCAGTGGATAGAGCACCAGCCCTAGACTCAGGAAGACCTAAGTTCAAGTCTGGCCTCAGACACTTGGCATTTACTAGCTGTGTGACCCTGGGCAAGTCACTTCACCCCATTGCCTCGCCAAAAAAAAAAAAAAAGGAAAAGAAAAAGAAGGAAAATAATATAGTACCAAAATATGGCTGCTGTGAGTAAAGAGGTTTGTAAGCCTTAAAGTTCCCATATAAATTTTCTTTTTGAGCTGTCTGCCAACGGTGCTTCTCCTTCTCTCTCTAGACAGTTTCTTGACCTCTCTCATCAACTACACCAAAACTAAATCCAGTTCCAGGCTTTCTCAGGTCGTTGTAATGGTTGCTTGTGTCCACCAGAGGGCGCTAGTGCAATATGGAAACCCATAGCTAACTTTGCTGAGGAAGGGTTAGCGGGGGCATAGCGGGGGCATAGTCTACATCCTCCCTAATCATTTATTCTACAGATACTTATGAAAAGCCTACTACGTGTTAGGCTAGGGTAGGGGAAGTAGAATGATAAATATGATACGGTCCCTGCCCCATATTGTGCCCCTAGCCTTATTCCCAGGGCTGCCAGAACCAGCCCATGTCCATACCTGTCCATTCGTCTACCCAAATCCGTCTGGCGCCTCAAACCCGGAGTTCACCAGCCAGAAGTCTGAGTCCCCTGAGGCTGAGACTGGGAGTTCTGACTCCTGGGTTCACTGTGCTGACACCACCCACTCACAAGCAGTAGAGATCTCAGTTATTCTCACCCCACCCCAGAAACCTGAACGAACGTGTGTGTAAGGGGGCACAGAAATCAAAGATCAGCAGGACTGCACAGCCAGAGAAGATGGGATAGTGCACAGCAGAGACAAAGGATGATCCCATTCCCGAGAAAGTCCCTATTGACCTTAGGGCAGTCTTTAAGTGAATCTGCCCCAAAGTCCCATCCAAGACAATTTGAGTCCTTGTGCTGGGAGCAGACAACACAGGTTCTTTGTCTCCCAGGCTGGGAGAGGCAGTGGGAAAGCCCCAGCCTGGGGCTTCCTCCTACCCACAGTGGGGTGGGGGACAGGCCAGTGGTAAGAGGATAAATTCTTCAGTGGTCCATTCCCCAGCCTGGGTTTGTCCTAGGAGAAAGAATTCTGGGGAGGGGTGGGAGGTGTTTAAGAGCTTTTGCTTCATGCATGGGAAGAGAGAGGAAGACCACAGCCTCTAGCCTGGCCTTTCCCGTTCCTCCCAGATCCATCTTGCTAACATGGACCCCTGGGGTTTTGCCAAGCTCTCACCAGCTGCAGGAAGAGAGCCCCTTTGGAAGTCATTGTGGTAAAGTTGGAAGAGCAACACATTTTTGAATAAGAAGACCCAGGTTTTGAATTGGAGTCGGGAGATCTAGAGATGGAATCCTGACTCTGCTTATTTACTATCCCTGTGTTACCTTGGGCAATTCACTTAATTTCTCTGTGTTTCAGTTTCCTAACCTATAAAATTGAAGAGTTGGACTAGTTCCTTCCATGGATAACTCCAGTGATCATAGGAATTATAATGAGAACTAACATTGTATAGCATTTACTCTGTGCCAGGCACTGTGCTAAGTGCTTTACAATTATTATCTCCTTTGATCCTCACAACAACCCTGGGAGGTAGGTGCTATTATTAGCCCCATTTGTTTATTTTTTGGTGAGGTGATTGGGGTTAAGTGACCTGCCCAGAGTCACACAACTAGGAAATATTATGTGTCTGAGGCCAGATTTGAACTCAGGTCCTCCTGACTCCAGGACTGGTGCTCAATCCATTTTGCCACCTAGCTGCCCCTATTAGCCCCCTTTTACACTTGAAGAAACTGAGGCAAAGAGAAGTTAAGTGACATGCCCAGGGTCACACAGCTAGTAAGTGTCTGCAGTCAAATTTGAACTCAGGTTTTCTTGACTCTAGGTTCAATTCTCTATTCACTGTGCTACCTAGCTGCCTGTCCGAATTTTTTTCAAAATGGAATAAACTTAAGTCCTCTATGATAGGCTTTGAGAGAAAAGAGTCAAAAGTACATCCTTAAAGGGTCCATAAACTTCTCAGAATGACTGGAGAGGGCAGAGATCTGAAGGTAGGGAGGACTCCTGACTCTATGGCTTAGGGATCAATTCTCAAGCCTTTATATCTGACCAAGGGAGAAGGCAGTGATTGTTATTTAACTGCCAGATGTTTGCTCCATTAAGAAATTCAGAGCAGATTTCATTCTTTCTTTCTTTTTTCTTTTTTTTGCTAGGCAATGGGGTTAAGTGACTTGCCCAAGGTCATACAGCAGAGCAGATTTCAGCTGTAGGTCATAGCTTCCATTCTTGTCCTCCAGACAGGGAAATCCAGATTGAATTGGAAGTCAATATCCCTTCCTAATACAGAGATCTCTCTCTCTACCCATGATTAAGCAGGCTGTGGTTGCTTCTACAAACCAGACTAGCAGGCACTTCCCCAGGTGATTTAGAAAATTCAGGTGAAACAGGGAAGTAAGGGTCATGTTTGAACCTGGGATGTTTGGGGCACACACAGTATAGCAGAAGTCAGTAGGACAGAGAGCACATTCTTGGTTCAAAGAATTTTATTCACCACAGTGGGGTGGGTGACAGAACTTGGGAGAGGTCTGAGGGTAGAAGGGAATGCGTCCATTTAGAACCAGAGACCCCAGAATCACAGCACTTACTGGGAAGGGAGAAGACTGAAGGGCTAAGAAACATAGACACATGCTAGGGTTGGGGAAGTGGGGAGACCTTAGTCACTCTTGACACTTAACATGAATGACTTTATTTTCTCATTCAGGGCATAGGGTCCCCCCCACCTCCTTCCTCAACTTAATCCCTTACCTTATGATTAACCCTTTGAGAGAATGATGGAAAGCTGGGTACTTTCCAATAGAGGAACCTCCTCATACCCCCTCCTCCTCCCACACATAGACCTTGAGATGAGAGGTGGAGATGGTGGGAAGAAGGGAATAAACTTAGCCTCTTGAACTGATGAGATCTTTGGTTGAAGGTCAGGGATATTCTACCTCAGTGGCCCCATCCCATTTGATGAAGAGAGGAATCATGGCCCTCACTGTTACCCTCAAACCCCTGCCCTCCCACCTTAGGATCCCCATTTCATTTCCTTCTTTAGGTCTAACTTCAATCCTTTCTACTTCAGTCAAGCCCATGTTCAGTGCCTGGAGCCAGTGTGGGGTTGGGGCCAGGGTGAGGTAAACCCGGGAAGAAGGTGAGTGGAGGAGGGACAGGGAAGAATCATGGGGCTGGAGAAGCTTCATCAGTCACCGTCCAGTTAAGGAGGATCCAAAGACCACATAGCCTTAAAGGTGTCCAGACATGGGGATGCATGATTTTCCTCCCTGGTTTTCAGTCTATGTACCTCTGACGGGAAAGCTGCTACAGGTCCTTGACATCCCTCTAAATCCTGCTTTACTTCGGTTTCCTCAGGCCTCAGGGACAGAAATCTCAACCTCTCTCCTGCCCTAGGCCCCATCCCAGCCAGAAGGGGAAACCCTGGGAAAACCTTTCCACCTGTGGGGAATCCCACTCCAGCAAGCAGAGAATCAGTCTTAGAGGGCCCAGGGGACTGGTGCTCTGGGAGGGTAAGGGGGAGGAAGGGCCTCGAGAATCGTGGCCACTCATTTGGAAGAGGAGTAGAGAGGGAAGGAGGCAGAGAGGCAAGAGGAGGGAGTTCATTCCGGGGATTCTGGAAATGGTAGCAGGGACTCAACAGGCAAGGAGCTTGGAGAGAGCCGAGACCTAGGGAAAGAAAAAAAGGGAGTCAGAAGGAGTGACAGCTTGGTGTATTACAGGGATTGTTTACCTGGGTCCATGGACGCATGGACAGATTTCAGAGAGTCTTCAAACTTGGATGGGAAAAATATTTTGACAATTGTATTTCAGCATAATTGGTTTCCTTTGTATTTTGTTTTGTACATTTATTTATTTTTTGGTGAGGCAATTGGAATTAAGTGACTCGCCCAGAGAGTCAACACAGCTAGTGAGTGTTTTGTGTCTGAGGCCAAATTTGAACTCAGGTCCTTCTGACTCCAGGGCCAGTGCTCTATCCACTGTGCCGCCTAGCTGCCCCTTATTTTGTATATTTAAAAACATTATTTTGAGAAAGGGTCTGTGGGCTTCCCCCAATTTCCAAAAGGGTCCATGATGAAAAAAAAAATGCTTAAGACCTCTGGCAGTGAAAAAAGGGCACTGGATTAGATCCTAGAGGACCTGAGTTAGACTCTCTAATTGCTAATTATTTGCTGTGGGACCTTGGGCAAGCCACCTAACCTCTCTGGGCCTCAGTTTCCTCACCTGTAAAATGAGACAGTTGAATTGTATGATCTCTAAGATCCCTCCCATTTCTAATTTTATCATCCTATGAATGTCTCTATTCTCAATCTTTTTTTCCCTCATGAATCTCCTCACTCCCCTTGTTTCTCCTGGTACCGCCTTGCTTATAATCTCCAGCCCTATATTTGTGCCTAACCTGTAAATAAGGTTTCTAGTTCCAGCATTGTAATGAACTCACTGTGTGATTCCAATAGATCATTTAACCTACCTCAGTGTTCTTATCCATAAAACAGAGATAATACCTGCCCTGCCTTGCCTACTTAGTAAGGTTATTGTAAAGTCATTAAATAAGATAAAAAATAAGTACTTGTCAACAAAATTATTATTTAAAGTTATTAATGTTACACTATTTATCAAATAATATGAAAAATGTGAAAGTACTTTGATATGTTAAAAGCGATTTGGCATGAGAGGGACTCTATTGGTTTACTTGGTATATCCCTGGTCCTCTTTCTAGTCCTGTCATAGTATCCTAGGATACCAAAGCTGTAAGGATCCTTAGATCCTTACATAGAACGTTGGAACACAGAACATAGTGTTAGACCTGGAAGCAACCTTAAAACACAAATGTCATGACATGGATAATTAAATCTAGGAAGGACCTCAGATATCATGTAGGACAACCCCTTTATTTTACAGACCAGGAAGTGACTTGCCCAAGGTCACAGCACCATAATGAAAGAGCTGGACCTAGAACCGATGCAGTACTGATGTCCAGATCAGTGCATTTTCTATTAGAACCACAATAAGGTCACGCTGTTCAGAGCTTTGCCCCAGGGTGCCAACATCTGAGGGAGATGGAATACTTCCTCCTCTCAGCAGTGCAGAGACTGCCATCTCTGTCTTATGGTTCTCTGGCCTTCAGTAAACATCTTTTCTTTTTTTAATTTTTTTTGTTTTTGTTTTTTCATTTAAAAAATTTTTTTTCTTCTTCAGTAAACATCTTGACCCAACTGCCTCACCCAGGGCGTCTCCCAGCAACACTGGACCTTCATTTGGACCATCATCTTTGCTGCTACCACCCCACCCCAAACTGTTTTTGCCCTAGATAAAATAATCCATGGTAATGGCTCTGCTTCCTACTACATCACACTGTCTCCCACCCTGATTGCGTGTTCCCTCCTATAGAAAGTGTTCCTACACTGACCCCCTCTAATGTCTCTGATCTCTTCAACTTCTCCCCATCTCAACACAACCTTGAGAGCGAAAGCTTTCTTTGTCAGTAGAATCATATGCCCTTATCTGTCCATCTCTGTATATCCCCTTGGGTGAGGAATATATCCTGACTTTTCCCTCATCTGGGAGCTTCCTGAGGACAAGGTCTATATTTCTTCTTCCCAGTGAATTCCTCCTGGTTCCTCAGCTGTCAGCACAGGGCTAAAGAGGAGACTTAGAGACAGCTCAATCTCAAATCTATTCCCTTAGGGTCTATTTTCTAATGCAGCTTGGTGGTTCAGGAAGTCTCTGGACTTGGAGCTCAGGAAGACCTGAGTTCAAATATGGCCTCAGATGCTGGGCAAATTTCTTAACCTCTTAGAGCCTGAGTTTCTTCATCAGTAAATTAAGGGTAATAATAGCACCTACCTTCTAGGATTGTTGTGAGGATCAAATGAGATAATATATATGAAGCACTTTGCAAACCTTAAAGCACTATATAAATGCTAGCTATGATTATGACATAATGATGATGATAATAATAATAATAATAATGTTATTCTCCACCAAGCCAATTTTCCCAGCCATCCCCACAATTTCTTTCCTATCGGCAAGGTATAGTAGAAAGAGCTGAGTCAGAACTCAACTAGTTTCAAACCCTGCCTCTATCTAACACATGCTAGCTGAGTAAACTTAGATAGGTCATTTAACTGTTTTCAGCCTCCATTTTCTCATTTTAAAAATGGAGATAATGATATGTGTACCTACCTCACATAGTTGCTGGAGGGAAAGTACTTTAAAGCTCTGTAATAACATGAGTGATTTCTTTGTGTGTGTGTGTGTGTGTGTGTGTGTGTGTGTATGTGTGTGTGTGTTTATTTTGGAGGCAATGGAGATTAAGTGACTTGCCCAGGTTCACAAAGCTAGCTAGTATGTGTCTGAGGCTGGATTTGAATTCAGGTCCTCCTGACTCAAGGGCTTGTGCTCTATCCACTGCACCACCTAGATGCCCCAAATATTCCTAAGGTTGCCCAGGATAATTGTTTTTTTTTTTGGGTTGTTGTTTGTTTGTTTTCGAGGCAATGAGGGTTAAGTGACTTGCCCAGGATCACACAGCTAGTAAGTGTTAAGTGTGTGATGCTGGATTTGAACTCAGGTCCATACTGACTCCACAGCCAGTGCTCTATCCATTGTGCCACTTAGCTGCCCCAACATGAGTGATTTCTGACCCCTGATGAACTTCCTCCAGGCTGCTCATCCGACCCCAAAGTAGCACTCTTTCTTAGGAGGGGAGAACATAAGGGAGAGTGGTGTTCCCCTCAGACTAGCTACAGTCCAGAATCCCAGAGCTCAGGGTTGTAGCTGCTTCTAAATTCAGTGACTAGTATCCTCATTTTCCTTTGTTGGGGGTGGGAGTAGATGAGAATGAATATAAGCTCAAAAACAACAGCTGGAGTCAGTTGTGAAGGAGTATTTGGGGATTTTTTTCCCCCTAAGGTAGCATTCTTTTCCTAGGAGTGCCGGGCCTGGAGTAGAGAAAACTTGAGTTCAAATGTGGCCTGAGACACTTACTAGCTGTGTGACCCTGGGCAAGTCACTTAACCCTGTTTGCCTCAGTTTCCTTATCTGTAAAATGAGCTGGAGAAAGAAATGACAAATCACTCCAGTATTTTTGCCAAGAAAACCCCAAATGGGGTCATAAAGAGTTGGACACAATCGAAACAACTGAACAACAACAACAACCCCACATTACTAGCAAATAGAGAAGTTAAGTTGCTGTAGGGCATTTCCAGGATTGAGGGGGATGGGAGGAAGAGAGCAGGCAGGGCTGCCCTGTTTCTGGACTACAAGTCCAGGCAGGTGCTGAGACAGTCTCACACCCACTGCGCCAGCAGACTCACCTGGGCCCAGGTTCCAGGAGCCCTCTGGGGAGACTAGGAAGAGAGTTTTCTGGAACCCAGCACTGACAGGAAGGATTCCTATGTCCTGGAGCACAGCAGGGAGTAACTAAAGCCACCTTTTTGTATGAAAATGGATAGAAATGGGTAGGGGTGGGAGAGAATGATGGAAATTTGGACACTGGGGAGTGACCAAAGCTATCTGGGCCAGGTCCTTCGAGTCATTTACACAAGGTAACAATCCAACCCCCCACAAAAACACAAAACACCCCTCTTCTACTTTAGGATTCCCCTATCTTCTTCCAGAGCCACTCACGATGGTCACCGCTGCTGCTTCCCTTCTTATCCCCAGTGGGCTCCAGGGGGCTTAGGGAACTCCGCTGCCCAGCCAGCTGTTCCATAATTGCCCGATGGGTGAACAGAACGGTGTGGAGGAGCTAGAAAGGGAGAAGATCAAGGCTCCAGAGGTATCCTTCTAAGAATACCTGAAAGGAGTGGCCAGGAAGGGATTGGTGCAACGTGGAGGAGGAGGAGGTGGCTGGGATGATGCTGGGCCAGGACCTTGGAAGGAGGGATATGGGGAAAGAAAGGGTCTTCGTGCCTACCTCACTCTGCATACCGATGGGCACCAAGGCTGGGCCGTACATGCCTGGTGCACCCAGCAGCAGAGGAGGTGAGGGCGGGGGCCGCATGTCCCAGAGCGGATAGTTGACAATGATGAGTTTGCTGAAGTTGAACTTGTAAGTAAACCTCTTACCCTTGGTCTTATGCAGGATTCTTTTATTGTAGTAATACCTAGAGAAGACAAGGCCAAGGTTAGGTAGACAATGGAATGGACCAAAGATGGCCCAGCTAGTTTGTCTACATCTCAGAATACCTCACAGGCACTATTGGAGACCTGAAATCACAGCCTCAATGGGCATGACCCTGAAAGGGAAGTTATCAGAACTCATAGCTCCAATAGGATCTAAAAACTAGGACCTAGAACTCTTCCTTAACCCTGCGGTCAAGGGCTCAGAGCCCTGTCTCCTTCTCTCACCTCCTCATACTTCCCTCACCTGAGGGCCCGGCTCAGCTTGTCATAGTTCATCTGTGGTTTGCACTTTCTTCGGCCCCAGAGGCGGGCCACTTCATCTGGGTCCTTGATGACAAACTCCCCATACTCTCCCTGCTGCCAGGCAATGACATGGCGGAACTCCTCTTTCTGAAGCAGCTCCAAGATGAAATGCCACAGCTGGATCTGCCGGGAGCCTGGGGAGGATTCTGCCTTGTAGGCCCAATCTGGGAAGGCCAGGCCTGGGAGGACAAGACAGTGAAAGACAGTGTTTTACCTGGCCCTTTCTCACAAGCTGTTGTCCAATGATGGGACTAACCTCCCTATGCTGGTAGGGTAGAGATATGGAAAAAGGGACCTCTTGGTGATGGACTAATATGCAAAATAAGACACATTTTTTGGACATGGGTAATATGAGAATTTGTTTTGCCTTATACATATCAGGAAGTTGTTCAGTCAATTTCAGCCATGTCCAACTCTTCATGACGCCATTTGGGGTCTTCTTGGTCAAGATACTGGAGTGGTTTGCCATTTCCTTCTTCAGCTCATTTTACAGATAAGAAAACTGAGGCAAATAGGGTTAAGTGACTTACCCAAGGTCACACAGTTAGTAAGTGTCTGAGGCCAGATTTTAACTCAGGAAAATGAGTCTTCCTGACTCTAGGCCCAGCATTCTGTACACTGCACCACTAACCAAGTTTAAAATCAGCCTCAGACACTTACTAGCTGTGTAACCCTGGACAGATCAGTTAATCACTTTGTTTCCTCATCTATAAAATGAAAATAATAATATTACCCACCTTTCTGGCTTGTGGTGGGGATCAAATAAAATAATAATTGTAAAGCACTTAAAAAATCTTAAAATGCCCTATAACCACTAGCTATTATTGTTATTTGTTAACAATTTGTTACTTTTCTTTTTCCCAGGATGAGAGATTGATGGGAGGGAGAAAAATATATGCTTGATAGTTTTTAAAAAATTCAATTGAAAAGTATTTTTAAATATTTTCAAAAAAGAAAAGGGGGACTCTGGGATAAAGAAAGGGGTTCCTTCGGTCAGGAGGGTGATATGCTAAGGAAGAGAGGTAATGGTTTGAGAAGTGCCTTACCTGAAATCCAGTAGGAGCTGGGAACTGGGGGGATGCCCTCAGCCAGACAGTGGCAATGCATTGTCCACTCCTAAGGGAGGAGAGCTCTGTCTGTCCAAGCCTTGGGAGGCAAGAAGACTAATTGAGAGGGGGAGACAGAGAGAAGAGATAAAGGGAAACTCAGAGAAAGGGCAGAAAAAACTACTGTGTAAGGAGTCAGAGATGGAGAGACACATAGACAAAAAAAGAAAGAAAAGTAGAAGGAAAGAAATAAAGGATTCAGAGGGAAAGAAATTAAAGGTGGATTAGATTAAGAGGAGAAAGGGAAGAAAGTAGTGGTATGATAGAGGAGGGTAACTATGACCCAGAGTCAGGAAGTTTCCCTCATTTCCCCAGGGGTTACACTTCAGATTGGGGCACCATAATAACCCAGAGCTAGGGCTGGGGGTTTAGCCACTTAAATAGATGGAAAAGGGTAGGGAGGGGGAATAGTCAAAGGGTCTCTTCTGTTCCCCTTCCACTCCCCACCCCCCAATATTAAGGGATTTAGAAAAAGAGAGAGTCCTTCCCTTCCACTCAGGGCTTAAGGGGATTGAGGGTTTTCCTGACAGAAGACAAGAGAAGATGTAATTAATCTCACATTCTCTTTAAGGTTGGGGGGGAGTGGGGTGTGTGTGGCATGGATAGTAAAGGAAGGGTGAGGTGCAGCAGGCTGTTTCTTCCCTCCCTTCTGTCCCAACATACATACATACATACACACACTCACAGGTTAGAGGGGAGATTCCTGAGAATTTCTAAATCTAGGAATATAAGAAATGATATGGAATTCACCCACGGCTGACAGATGGGAGATTTGAAAATGTATGTTACAAATATTTTCCTTCTGGATGGAATTTGCATGGGGAGGTGGGGAGGCAGGAAGGGAAACACAATTCAAAGCCAGGCAGACAAAAGGAAATAATATAATTAGAAGATTGAGGTTAAATCTCAAGAAAGACTTTCCAGCAAGGAAGGACAAGATAGATAGGAAGGAGGAAGAAGGAACATTATAGGCTCTCTTTCTTTTGGAACTTTCAATACAATGGAGATTTTTGTTGGATTTCTCAGTTTTGTCTAAAGGCAAGGAGATCAGATAGTTTCTTGCCTTAAGTTTCTCTCTCTGATGAGGTTAACATGACACCTAATTAGAATCATAAGTGTTAAATTGAAAGGGATCTTAGGGATCCCCTTGTACAACTTCTCATTTTATGTTATAGAAAGCTAAGATGAAGAGATATAAAAGGACCTGCCCCAGGTCACACAGGCAGTGAGTAACAGAGAACAGTCTATTTCCCAGGTCTGATGCCTGCCTGTACAATACTCTTTTTACTATATAATACTATCTTCCATGATGAGTACCAGATGGGGACCTGATTGGCATGACTGAGTGGCTGGAGAGCTGGCCTTAGAGTAGGGTGAGGCCAAGTATTCAAGTCCTGTCTCTCACAAATACTGGCTATGTGGCCCTGAACAAGTCAATTAGCTGCTCGGCACACCAGGAAGCTCTCTAAGACTACAAATTATTTATGAGTTGTTCATCTGCTTTGGTGGAGGGGAATTTCCATATTAAGAGTTCCTAACATTGATAAAATCCCAGATAAAAAAAAATGCACACACATACACACACACACACATGCCCACACATATATGTATGTATATCCTTGAGATGCATAAAAATGAGCTCATGTGTTTTAAAGTCACAGATTACATTTCTTATAAATGCTAGAAGGAGCCACGATCGCTGGTCCTAATTCAACCCTTTCATTTTATAAATAAGGAAACTGAGACCAAAAGAGGGACATGACTTCCCTAGCAACTGAGGAGGATTCTCAGGTCCTCCCTTGGTTCTAAAGAATCTGATGGCATTTTCCTGGCCCACGGGCACTTTAAACTAAGAACCTAATTTTATAAAGGGGAAATGCAAATTTACCTCCCAGGGTTAAGCAAGTACCTGCCCCTTATCTTTGCTAGTCACTAGGTACCCAGAGTGTGTTCCCTAAGAATCACATAACAGATGAGGCCTCTTCTGGAAGAAACAATAGTATGGTATAGTGGACTAAGGCCTGGATTTGAGTTCTGACACTGCCACCAAATAACTGTGTGACCTCAATGAAAAGCCAGGTTCAAGGAGCAGCCAGTAAGCTAGTCTGCTGGAAAACGGAATCTATGAAATGGATTGGAGGCTTGGAAAGGTGGGAGACAAATTGGGACACACTTTCATACACAATGCGCTCAGGAGTTTGTGTTTTAACCTAGAGGCAATAGGGAGCCACTGATGATTTTTGAGTAGGGGATTAACATGGTCAGAACTAAATTTTGGAGTTAGGGTTTGGGAGGCAATCAGAGTTAAGTGATCTGCCCAGGGTCACACAGCTAGTAAGTGTCTGAGGTCAAATTTGAACTCAGGTCATCCTGATTCCAGGCCTGGTGTTCTATCCACTGTACCACCTAGCTGCCCCAGAACTGACTTTAAAGAATATTAATTTGGCAGCTGAATAGAGGATAGATTAGAGAGAGAGCAAGGTCGGAAGCAGGGGAACCAAAAGTAACAACAGGACTGAATGAGGACCAGATTTCAGTTTCCAGCCTCTAAGCTGGAAAACAGTTCTTTATGTCAAACCTTAGACAATAACAGTGCACATCCCTATATCACCTGGTCAGCCATAAGGAGGATCCCAGAGCTGGGACCTGATATTGTTGTCCTTACTGTCTCTCCTCCTCCCCCCACCTCCTCCAGAAGCTCTTCCCCATTATGATGAGCTCAGCATCATTCCCCCCTCCAGCCACAGCAGCAGGGCCATCTCAGTGGCCTGAGCCACACAGAGAGTATTGAGAACCATAAATCATAAAGGATCATAACCTAATCGTGAATGATCGAGGTAGGAGGGGGCCAAATCTCTTTACTTAGTTTGCTATATCTCTAGAAGAGAAGCGGGGTCTGAACAAGTGAGGATTATTATGTCATTGTGTGCATGGCTGTGATATTAATAATTTCTTCTGTCAATATCAGCTTCCACTAGTATAGTTATGATTATTAAGTCATTCTCATAATAACAATGGAGATGAGGATAATGGTGATGATTATAAAGATCAAGGCTTTGATGAGAGCTTTGGAGTCAGAAAGGATATTCTGAGCAGAAATAATGAATCAGAGCAGCAATTCACATTTATGCAAACCCTTTAAGGTTTACAAAGTACTGTTCCTGCAACAATCTTTTGAGCTAGGCAGTGAGAGTGTTATTGCCCCCATTTTATTCATGTGGAAACTGAGATTCAAAGAGGTGGCATTATTGATCTTGGCCACACAGTAAATGTCAGGGATAAGACTGGAACCTGATTCTGATATATTGGAACCCATAGCTCTTTTCATTAGACCACTTTGTCAAGTCAGTTGACAATCAATCAGGGCAGAGGAAGATTGGGAGGAAGCTTTAGAGGGGAGGGAGAAGTTGAGAGATTGAGGCCTGGGTGGGGAGAAATTCTGGAGAAATTCTTGACTTAAACTGTGCCTTCCTTCTGAGAGGAAGTAATTGAAGGAGATAGAGCAGAACAGACAGATGGATGGACAGATAGGAGCCCAGAGAGGATGGCAGACACACAACATCAGAGACAGATGGACAGAGAAGCAAAGACTGTGCCTACTTCGGGGTAGGGTGGTGCTTTTTAATAACCAAAGTGGATTGACAGCATAATCTGATCAAATAGATCAAATCTGACAAATTAGACAAAAATTGGTCATTATGGTAACCGAAAGAAATTTTTAATTCACCTGAAAAATGTAAATTGGTTGGCCACATATATACATATACAAAGATAAGGATTGGGTGATCAGAGATAGGGGAAAATCAAGACAGAGAAAGTGAAAGAAAAACAGAGAGAGAGAGAGAGCTAGACAGGGAGGAGGAGACACAAAGGTGGAAAAGCCAGATTAAGAAAGGAGCCAAGAAATTCTAGATAGACTACAGACCTGGGTGGAAGAAGAAACAGCATGAGGAACAGGACAGACACCACTTAAACTAAAGAGAGAAACATGCTAAGGTTTTTTCCCAGCTCAAATTGTATAATTCTAGAAAGAGACCCACAGGGGGAAAATAGAGATGGAGGAAGAGAGACAAAGAGAGACAGAGAAAAATCCCCCAGAGAAAAAGAGGTAGGCCTCCTAGGGAAGATTTCATGCTTGTTAGCATTGAACAAATGAGCCTCCTTCCCCAGGCACCACCACCCCTCCTTCTCCTGATCCGTATCCCTCCCAACTACACACCTCCTCCCGAGTCCCAATCTGATTAGAAGACTAGGGGCCGAGCCCCTTCACTCCTGTTTGATCTTCTGCCCTGAGTGGAGGCCCCTCCTGAGACCTCTCTTAATGCTATTAGCTAAAGCTGCTTAGGGGAGGAGAGCCAGAGGGGCTGGCGAGGGGAGGGAAGAAGGGAGGGAGTTAGGGGCCCCCAAACCAGCCACCTTTTTTCCCTTTGGAGACTCAAGAGTAGGGACCAGACTGTCCTTTTCTTCCTCCTCTCTACCCAAAGTTCCAGCAGCTTCAAGGGGTGGGGGGTGGGAGGGTTTAAATTCCAGGATGGTAAACCTGGGCAGGCTGGTAGGGAATCCTAATGTTGTGTCCCTCCCCTGGCCTGATCCAAGTCTAAGGAGGTTATTGTTCTGCCTTTGGCTGTTTGTCTTGATTTCTATTTTTCTTTGTATCAGTTTTGCCCAGTCTTTGTGTTTGTCTAGCTCTGTTTCTCTTTTTTCTTTCCCTTCTGAAAAAAACAACAAACAAACAACAAAAAAAACACCCAAAAAACCACCCCATCTTTTACTTCCATTTCAGGCAGCTAGGAAGCACTTTTTTCTGTCTAACCAACATCCTTTCCACCGCAATACCAGGCTCTCTGCCTCTACTGTCCACCTCCCCCAACCCCATCCCCAAGATGAAGCCTAGTTCTCTCCAGAATTCTTTTTCAGTATATAGCATGCTGTCTCCACTTAGCTGTCTCTGCTAAGTCTAGGACTTAACATCTCTCTTGTATCATTGCCTTCCACCCCTGGCTGCTTTTCGTCAGCCTTGCCCCAGGTTTCCTGCTCCCTCCCATTTCCCCCAATCTTGCTGAAGTCTGGGGCCCATCCCTCTCTCTCCTATCCTCATCTCTCCTCCCCGCCCCTGCTGACTCCTCTGATTCTTGGCTCTTAGGTCTCTGGGGGCCTTGGGATTTAAAAGGTTTGTGTAACTCTGTGGAGCAGAAATCCAAACCGAGACCCTCCACCCCAGCTCACTCCCCCCTAACCCGCACCAGGCTGGGTCTGAAGGTCACAAAGAAAGTCACTTACACAAGCCCAGAAAATCCCTTCCAATTTCCATGGCAGCAGGGTGGGGGGTAGAGGGGGAAAGGGGGTGCGAGGTGGTCCTAGAGGGAAAGCAGGAATAGCCATCTGCATGGGTTAAACAGACAACAAAGCTCTCCTTCCCAGGCTTTCTCTCCTTTCAGGTGCTCTGCCTTCCTTTTTTCAATCTGGACTTCTTTTAGGAATCTGCTCAATTCCTCCTTCATTGCATTTTGTTCTTTTTTCCCCCCTCTTTCTGTCTCCCTCTGTCTCTCTCCTTCCCTCTCTCCCTTCTCTTCTCCCTCTCTTTCCCCCCTCTTCTCTCTCTTCTCTTTCCTCTCTCCTCTCTCATCCTCATTCTTCTTCCCCTTTCTCTCCCCTTCTCTCTTTTTTCTCCACCCGAATTTCTCTAGAATGTCCTCTCTTTTCTACTTTCTTCTCTATTTCTCCTTTTCACCTTTACTCTGTGACTCTCAGTCCCACTGTCTCTGTCGATCTCCTATGCTCTGCTTGCCTCTCTTGTCTGTCTTTTTTGGGCTCTCCAGGTCTCTTCTGTCTTGCCATGTTTCTCTCTCCTTCTCTGTCTTGCTTGACCTGTTCCTGTCTCCCTTTGGCTGGGTCTTGCACTATCTCTGTCTCTGTTTCTGTCTTGTTTTACTTGTCTTTTTCTTTTTATCTCTTTCTTTTTGTCTGTTTCCAGGTGATTTCCTCAAATCTAGAAACTGAACTCAAACATCTAGGCATATAGGCTAGAGCTCTTGTATCACTTTCCATTCTGTAGCTTATGTGGGAGGGGAGGGAGGATGATTGGGAGACAGTCACTACATTTCGCAAAGCTTTCTTCCATTTCTGCTACATTCTTCCCCTACTACCTAGCCCCTTGAGCTCTTTTATAGTAGGGTGATGAGGGGCAAACCTGCTGCATTCTAGTCTTATTACCTACCCCCTTGGACGATTTCATAGCAGGGTGATGAAGGGCAAATCTACTCATTTCCCATGCAACAGGAGATCCCCCAGCCTGGGTACTCCCTGACTCTCCCCCTCAAAGGACAAGAATTCCCCACCAGAGCTGGGAAGCTGAGGTTTCAGAGGGGCCAGGCAGAAGGAAGAGGAAGTGAAAGCCACTAGCTGGGAACAAGGCTCTTAGGGTGAGGTGGCCCTGTTAGCAGCAGATGCTGAGTAACTGGGATCCAGACGTCAGCAGGTACTGGCTTGAGGCCACCTCTCACCCACTCCTCAGCTTAGGAGAATGTCTCTGACTCACCCAGATTCCAATCCCCAAACAAACCTCAGCTTAAATCTCAAAACTGGATCCCCCCAAGACTCATCTTAGTGCCAAGCCAGACTTAAACCCCAATCTCAAATCAAGCCTCAACCAAAACCCCACCCTGCAAACCCAAACCTCAGTGCTAATACCCAAACTAATGATGACCCCAATATCAATCCTATGCCCAACTCAAACCTCAATGTGAACCCCCAAACATAATGAAAACCCCAATATCAAGCCTCAACCCAAACCCCACCCTGCAAACCCAAACCTCAGTGCTAATACCCAAACTAATGATGATCCCAATATCAATCCTATGCCCAAGTCAAACCTCAATGTGAACCCCCAAACATAATGAAAACCCCAATATCAAGCCTAATATCAACTCACATGCTAGTACCTACCTCACCTCCCATGAACCAAACTCAAATTTCAACCCCACTCTCAACGCTAACCCCATATTCAAACCCCACTCTCAAATTGCATCCCAAACTCTGTTTAGCCTCAATAACATCCTTTCTTTTTGCCCATCCCTGTCCCTCACTACCCCTAGGCCTCAGCTTCTAAAGTGTCCCTGGTCCTTGTCAGGGAAGGAAGATACCTTTGGTCTTGGTAAGTAGAACCCTGTGAAGAAAAGAGACTTTTTGTCTGGAATAGCTAGAAATTTTTCTTCTGCTCTTCTCTTGGTTCTGAGATCTGTCTTGGAAGGATGTGCAAGGACTACAGAGGTGGGAAAGGAGGATGCAGTGGGAGTCCCTTCCCTTAAGAACTCCAGTGCCATGGAACTCCTGACCTTACACAGCTCTGATCTTCTTCCTGGATCCCCTTTCCCAAGTCACTCTGTAGATAACAGAAGCAGGTGATGACAAGAGACAGAGTTAAGGGAATACCTAGGCAACTAAGCCTTTAGCTTTCTTCTAAATTCTGACTCCTTTGGGAAGGGTTCTAGGGATCGAGAAGGGAGAGAGAGAGTGGTCAGAGACTCTTCTCATCAGTGATCTCTAAGTACTAGTTAGCTAATCTGTCTCTTAAAGGCGTGGAACTTGGTGCCTCACCTGCTGCCAACCTTGGATTTCTGCTGCCACCTGTCCTTCCCGTGCCCTTGTGATCAGCTCTTCTACCTGATGGCTGCACTCATCAGTTGCATCTCAGTTTGACAGGTGTGAGGCAGGGATATGGAACTTTAGGGGATGAGAAAAGAGTTCCTGAATTTGATCCTACTAGTTTTCCTCCTGCCTCTGCCCATCCTGATTCAAATCCTCCAGCCCTTTGGTACAACTAGCTTCTCTAGAGCAGCCTCAAACACTTCTCCCCAGGTCATGGAGAGAAAGCAGGGTACAGGAGGTAGCAGAAACTGTCCCTTCTTCAGCATCTCTGTTCTAACACACCGATTCACAGCTGTCCCATATTAGCCTTCTGGGAACTTCCCTCTCAGGGTTCCCATGTCTGGCTCCACAGTTGTTCTGTATCTGGAGGGGTAACTGCCTGTCACTTAAGTGGATTAGTGTCCTAATCTCTTTACTCACCCATCCAATATTCCTCTCTTACTTCTCTTATTTGCCCCACATCAGGTTCCATAGCTGCCCAACATCTAAAAGGCCCCATTCTCCCCTGGATGGGCTCTCTTCCCTTGGTTTCCATTCCCGCTTAAGTCTGGAGTCCCTTTAACCTGATGGCTCCATTCCTTGCCCCTTAACTGTTCCATAGGTAGGGGGAAGACCCAACCATTCAGGTGAATTTTCTGCACCCTCCCATCATCCCCTCACCCCAAGCTATAGACCCTGTCCCTTACCTCAGTGCAGCCGCCGGCCTCCCGCTCTCTGTCTGGTTCCCTCTCCCGCTCTGTGCTTGCGACCCCCTTGTCTCATCACACGCCGTGTTAGGGTTACTTAAAATGAGAGCGGGATCTCCAAGCTCCCAGGGGAGCTGCTGTGGTTTTCAGACAATAGCATTAACCCTTTGGGGGCCAGAGACACCACTATTCCCCACCTTACCCCCTTTTTTCTGTCCCCAGCTCCCTGATACCACTCTGTTCACTGCTCCCCTCACATCTCCTTATTAGAGAGAAATCACAGGTTTGCCCTCCACTTTTGGGGGAAGGGGAACTCTCCCTTCATATCCAGCCCTCTGCCTTTGATTCAGATCACACCAAAACAATATTAGAAGAATGGGGCAAAGGTCGAGGATGGAGGTGAAGACCACCTCTTCTCCAAAATCTCCAGGGAAGGATGTGCCACAGTTACTGTGAATTGACAGGAAGTCCTTCTAGCTCTCTAACCTCCATCCCTCTCAAGATACAATGCTATCTCCCTCTCATTTCACTTTCTTCTGGACTAATAGAGAATCAAGCCTCTTCTTAGCCCTCAGAACCTTTGGGCCTGGGCCATCAAGTCTCCCTAGTCTTCTCTTAGCTGTACCTAATTTCCTGGTCCTGGATCTAAGTAATAATAATCAGTACATCTAGTCCCTTTGCCTAAGGATCTTGAAGCATCTAATACACATATTTCTTTTCATAATTTTCCAGAGATGCAATAGCTCTTCTTCTTTTTAGGAAGGATTGGAGGTTAGATACAGTGAAGAACTTTTAGTGGTGCACTAGAGGTAAGGGAATTAGGAAAGTAGGCTCTCTAGATGGGGGAAGAGCACAGCTAGGTTACAAGCAGAGGATGGACCTGACAGTGGATGTAATGGGGGAGGGAGAGGAAGGAGAAGGAGGGAAGGCCAGAGGAGTTAAGCAGTTGACCTGAGGCCTCACACCAAGATCCTGAAAGCTGATAGGATTTCATCCTAGAGCCCTTCAGCTCCAGAGTCTGAGGGTCTGAGGAAGTCTGAAGACTGTATTGTCCTGTGTCCAATATCCCCAGGCCCTGGCGGGAGGGGAGGAGAAGATTGATGTCTGTCACTGTGGGAATCGATGCCATTTTATTTTTTTGATTCTTTTCTGTGAGATACCAAGCTCTCTCCCCAACCCCCCTCCCTTATTACCCAGGGCCCCTCCCAGCACCTTGCTGATCCAGATGGGAATGGAGGGCCATGGAATTAAAGTCTGGGGGTGGTTTTCTGGTTAAATCAACCGAGGCTAACATGATGGAAAGGGGGATGACGAGAGAAAAAGCTGATTGATGGAAGAGATGGGAGCTGGGCAGGGGTGGAGAGTGGGGGTGTGAATAGAAGACCTGGAGTGGAATTCTCCTGGGAGGGTTGAGGTGGACTGCTCCTCAAAAAGCAGAGTGAGAGGATAGGGGATGAAGCACGAAGGATACAGGTTAGATTGCAGGAAGGACACCTCAAAAAGGCAGAATGGGAAGGAGGAGGCAATGAGTTATTCCTATCTTGATTGATCGGAGGACCTTGTTCAAGTCCCAGTTCTGTGCCATCTTTGGCAAATTCTTTGGGTTTCACTTTGTTTGTAAAATATGTATTTGTGTATGTGTATGTGTATGGGAGAATCCTAGGATTCAGAGATGGGAAGGTTAAACTAAATGATCCCTAGGGTGCTTACTCTAAAGCAGGGGTTTGTAACCTTTTCTGTGTCATGGTCCCTTTTGATAGTCTGACAAAGCCTATGGACCCCTTTTCAGAATAATGATTTTAAATGCATAAAATAAAATACTACATAGGATTGTAAAGGAGAAGGATTATATAAAAATAGTTGTTAGAGTATATTTTTTAAAATGTTCATAAATCCCAGGTTAACAATTCTTGTCCTGTGGGGTTAGACTACAGAAAGGACTTCCTGGGGAAGTGGGATGGAGAATGGAGGTGGAAAAGAATTCTAGACCTAGTCTCTGAAGAGGTTAAGGAGAAAGGCTGTAGTGGAAAGGATAGAAAGGAGATTGCAGTAAGGACTCTGTATATGACCAGGAAGCCATGGGTATTCCCCTTCCATGTATACTGTGGGCATTCCATCTTACCTTCATGATACTCTACTATGTGTCATCCACTTAATAGTGTCTTTTCTATTAGGTTCAGAAGCAGAGGACTAAGTTATATCAGGAGGGAAGTGGAGAGAATTTGAGGAAAAGGTTTAAAAAAAAAAGCCTCTCCACCTGAGGCCTCAGGGAAGACTTGGGAGCTAGAGTAAGGTCTGAAAAGGTACAGTCTAAACCAGGTGTGGGGAACCTGCAGCCTCGAGGCCACATGTGGCCCTCTAGGTCCTTGGGTGCAGCCTTTTGACTGAGTCCAAGTTTTAAAGAACAAATTCTTTTATTAAGGGAATTTGTTCTGTGAAGTTTGGATTCAGTCGAAGGACCACACTTGAGAACCTTGAGGGCCACATGTGGCCTCAAGGCCACAAGTTCCCCACTCCTGGTAAGTTAAGGTATGGGGCAGTGAGGTGGCACAGTGGATAGAGTGCCTGGTCTGGAGTCAGGAAGACTCATCTTCCTGAGTTCAAATCTGACACTACCTGTGTAATCTTGGTCATTACTTAACCCTATTTGCCTCAGTTTCCTCATCTGTAAAGTCAGCTGGAGAAAGAAATGGAAAAACTACTCTAGTGTCTCTACTAAGAAAACCCAAATGGGGTCACAAAGAGTCAGGCATGACTGAAACACAGCTAAGCAACCACAAACTAAGGGGTTGGAATACTTGATATTCTGTTCATCCTTTCTCTCTGCTGAGGGAATTCCTTCCCAAGATCTTGGGAGAGGGCTGACTTCTGGAAGCTTTCCTTGGAAAGAGAAACAATCATCTTCTGCTCTCCTGCTATGTGGCCCCTACTGGGAAGGCCTTATGGCTTCATCTCAAGCCTTCTTTCTAAAAAACAAAACAAAAAAAAAGAAAAGAAAAGGAGAGGGGAAAAAAGAGTCCGGATCACTGGTTATATTCCTTTTTCTGATCCTGGAAGGAGTGGAATTTTCACCCTCCACCACTCCACTCCTGACCCATGCCCTCCCATCTTCCCTGCTGTTTGATAGAAATGAATAGATAGAAGCTACCCCATGCCATGGGGTAGTGGAAAGAATGTGGGACATTGGCTCTGCCATTTACTGCTTCTGTGACCTTGGGCAAATTATTTAAATTCTCTGAGCCTCAGTTTCCTCATCTGTAAAAAGAATCTTAGAATAGATGATCTCTAGGTCCCATAACATTTCCAAATCAATAATTCTATGTTCTCTGTGTTCTCAGTCATCCTTCTCCAAACTCCAAACTATCCCCACACAGTTCACTCAGCACTGTTGCTCAGCTCCTTCTAGATTAGGGAGTCTTAACCTGTGGTCTGCAAACTTAAAACATATATATATACATGTACATGTATCTATGCACATATATGCACACATGTACATATATAATTATATGTAGAAAATAGATATATAATTATATATAATTTACATATAGTTAAATATAACTATATATAATAGATATGTAATTTATATATAGTTATATATGTATAATATATATAATTATACATAATACATAATGTATTACAATATAATTGATTTCTTTTACAATCCCATGAATTTTATTTTACACATTTGAAAACATTATTCTGAGAAGGGGTCCACAGGCTTCACCAGATTCTAAGGGGGTCTATGACATATGAAAAGGTTAAAAATCTGTGCTCTGCACAGAACCTTCTGCAGGCAACCAGCCTTCTGGCATTGAGTGTAGAGGAGGGAAATATTGCCAGTTTTAACCCACGGCTAAA